CACCTGAACCATGCTCGACGAAGCACACGTGGGATTAGGAAGCGCTTTTCCATTGAACACGGGGATAGGTGTTGCCTGATGGGACTCTCCTATCCCCTGATGCCATTTATATTAATATCACACTAGCTAATGATGGGCTATTTATTGCACTGAGTATTACAGATGACTTTATTTAAGCTATATCACTATAATATTTCAGATGGACTATATTATAGGAAAAAAATTGTCTTTTCTGTTGCTGTTGCTTATTGAAACCTTCCTTTCTGTTAGGCTCTATGGTCATGTTAAGGAAAAGGATAAAACAGGGCTATGACACTGGTGATGTCCCCACCTCTGTCTAACCTGGCTTGGTTACAAATATGCAGATGACTGGGACTAGCGATTTCTGTAGCGTTTCGCTAGCAGAGGATTTGACACTGCCTTGAGACTTAGTCATTTTGGAGAATGTTCCCTTAATTGGCAACAGAAGATTTGCAGCTACAGAGGCTGTAGCCAAGGCTTTTGGATTATTAAGAGTCGAAGCCCAATCATGTGGCAAGGAAGCAAACCCACTCCTTTCTATTATTACTGTGCGTTAGAGCCACGTTAAGTAAGACTTACCTAATGACAAGTCTTCACTCTTGCACTGGGATACTTGCTCCTTTCTTGGTGCTCAGAGGGCTTTAGAAACCCTGCCTCCTCCCAGCATGCCTGGCAGGGAGGACATACTCAACCACCCTGTTATGGCCCCCTCTGCCCTGCCAGGCTTTTCTCTTTTTTTGTATCCTCAGACATCTTCTCATTATTCACCCTCCCCTTCTGTCACCTGCTGTGACAAACAAGACTTCCCATCTCTCCAGCCAAGAACTAGGCATTTTCATATAATGAAGTTTATGTGTGATAATCTGAATCCTGCCATGAAATTTAGCAGGCTCGCCTTCTCAGCTTGAGTTCCTGCGGTTTCTTGACTCGCCAAACTAAGGCAACATTAGTTCATCTGGAGTATGGGGGGGGGGGCATCGGCCTTTGGCCCTGATCCCTGAGGCCAGAACTTTCCACAGCTCAAGTCTTCATTTTTGTTATTTCACTTCCTGCATTCTGCACACATTTCACCTTTGCCTCTGTGTTTTGAAATATTTCTCTGGAGCAAATGCTGAAATAAGAAACTTCTGTTTCCCATTCTTTAGTTGCACACTGAGCTGGTGCAGGGAAAGCAGGTAATGATAATTCTCGCTAGAGGCAAGAAAGACTGCCTTTTAATTTGCACTCGGATGTCTGTCGAGTGTGGATAATGTCGAGTGGATAATGGAAAAAAAGCAAGCGAGTGCAAAGGGTTAAATTAGCTACTGCAGCCCTAAGTGTGGTATAATAAGGAATTTATCTGGGCTTTGCCCTGGGTTCCTGGCTTGTAGCTCCTAAAACCCTTGGAATTTCCTGAGTGACGGACTGTCTTTGTTATGCCAATGATAGGCTGGGCTTGGTCACCAGAAAGATCAGCCAGGTGAAATTATGGGGTTGGAACTTTGGGCCAGTCTGACCTCCTGGGAGAAGACAAGGACTGGATTGAGTTCAGTCACAGAGCCAGTGATATAATCAATCACCCTTACCTGATGAAACCTTGGTAAAAACTCTGGACACCAGGGCTCCGTGGAGCTTTCTGGTTAGTGAACACATAGATGTGCCAGAAGGGTGACACAGCCAGATCCCAAGGGGAGAGGGTGTGGAACCTACATTCTTTCCTGATACCACCCTATGTGTATCCATTACAATAGAACCATAACCATAATCACTTCTGTTAGTCATTCTAGCAAATTATCAAACCTGAAGTGTGTCCTCAGAATCTGGGGTTTGGTAGCTGGACAGCTGTCAGTGTGGGTGGCCTGGGAACCCCACATGCAGCTGGCATCTAAAGTGAGGGCAGTCTTGTGGAAAATAGCCCTTAACTCAGGGGGTCTACTCTAACTCTTAGTGGTGAGTGTTAGAATTATATTGCAGTGCACCCCACTGGGACAGAAACAGAATAACTGTTATTAAGGGTAATTTTCCAATTTCTGTTGAAAATCTTGAAATATCAGAAGCAGCCTCAAGCCCTTCATGTTGGGCATTACAGCTTGAAGCATGGGCCCCTGAGTGGACAGGTTAGACAGATCATGTAGAAGTTGCTACTCAAAGTGTGGGCCAGACTGCATGTCCACAAACTGTTCATTACCAGGTCCCGATGGGGCATGTACAGAAATGGAGAGCAAGAATTTAGAAAGTTTTCTAGCAGTTGGGCAATGCCAAGACATTTAGGCATGGAAGTAGAAAATATCAGACAGTGACAACTGGGGGGGCGGGGGGAATGATCCTTCACGACAGTTTGAGATGTGTAATTTAGAAAATATAGCTTCAGTTGGTGTGATCAGATGGAACCAGAATTGAGTGTTAAGAAGTGTGAGCCTGAGAATCAGACACATCCATCTGTATGTAATATCTGCTGCTTGCTATCTATGTGCTTTGGGGAAGTTATTTAATCTTTCTGGGCCTCAGTTTCCTCATCTAGAGAATGGATATAGTAATATTTCCTACCTAACTAGGTATTGGGAAGACCAAATGAAATAATCCAGGACAAGTGCTAACCATAGCCTGGCATATAGCAAGTTAACTGCTGGTATTATTTCTTCTATGTTTGCTTCTTGGCATCAATGACTCTGGTTTGGTTGAAGCATATTCTGTATATGTATGTTTGATTTATGATCGTATATGAAATCTACAGCCTTGCTTTGATGTGAATACATAATAAAGCAAACACTTTTTAAAAAACCACAACTTGTACATGTAAGTGAATGTTGCTTTTTGTAGGATCCTTCTGGGATGCTGCAATTGTTAGAAGCGGTTTTGGAACTTCTTATTTGGCATTTCAATTATAGCCTATTCCAATGATTTAATGTAACAAATCACCTTAAAACCTAGTGTTTCAGAACAACAACCTATTATTATTGCTCATGGTTCCATGAGTTGATTGGGCTCGGCTGGTTCTCCCTTAGGGCTTTCTGTGGGTTGCAGTTAGTTGGTAGCTGGGGATAGAGTCACCTGAAGCTTAGCAGGGCAGAGCATCCAGGATGTCCTCTTCATTCCTCATGTTTGGTGCCACCATTGGGATGGCTGAAACAGCTTGAGGCTGCCTGGCTTCTCTCATTGCATGCGGCCCTTCCACATGGCTAGCTTGGAGGTCCTTACTGCATGGTGGACTAAGCTTAGGGACATGTCTTCGTTGGTGCCCAGCTTCCCCCAGAGTGAGCATTCTAAGAGGCAGGAAGTGACAGCGGCTAAACCTAGGCCCCCTAACAGCCATAGTGTCACCACCACCATCCTCTAGTGCAAGCAGTCACAGGGCCCCACTTTTATTTAATGGAGGGAGATATAGACCCTACCTCTCCCTGAGTGGAAGGTCAAAAAATCTGTGTCCACCTTTAATCCACTATAGAGCCACAAAAGAAATGTGGTTTTCTTACCTTTGGCACATCTCTTTCCACCAAAGACATTGTATGACTTCCCAAGTTGACCACTCGGCAAGTGACCCTAGGAGCACTCATTTTGATTTCAGTTACTATCTGCTTGAGTAAAGACACCAGCCATTGCATTATGGTCACACCCTGCATGCTTTTGTGCTTTAGGAGTAGTCAGCCTCAGCCAGAGAAGAAGGGTGGAGGCCACAGATTTCCCCTAGCAGCACCTCCTGGCAGATGCTCTCTACTTTCTGGTGACTGGTTTCTATAATACTAATGACCTCCTCCTTCCCTGTGTTTCCTCCCTGCATGCCACCCTGCCTTGCCTGCCACAAAGTAATCTCCTGAAAGCCCATGGAACCACCATGTCACTCTCTTGCTCTAAGAACGTCACTCCCTCTTTCTCATACAGCATGTGGCCCAGGCATCCCAGCAGGTGCTCAAGGCTCTCCATGGCAGGAAGGATGTACCACCCCAGTTACATCTTCCCCAGGTGGTCTCCATTCTTCTTCCAACACCATCACCCAAACATATACTCATGCATACCCCCAGACACACAGCCCCTCCCCAGAACACACACACACACACACACACACACACAGACGCACATCTGTTTATTTATTATCTGCCTGTGCTTGGCTTTGTGCTCAGTTTGAAGTTCTAGCAAGCTTAATTCTTATTCCACAAACATACCTATGTTTTTCCATTTCTTTGCATAAGTTCTTGAAGGTTAGGAGCATGTCTTCTTAATGTTGTATTTCCCTTAGTACCAAGCACTGTGCTACCCACATAGCAGTAACATTGGTCCACTGTATCTGATACTTTTCATCTCTCCTTCTTTTGTCACCCTTCTCTGTTGGAGTCTCATCTAGGATCAGCAAGCTCTTGCCTCACCTCTCCCTACGTAAAATTTAAGCACATGTCCCTCTTATCCCACCAGTGCTCATGGCAAGGGTGAGTAGGAGGGCATTCTTCAGTCAGTGCCATCGGTGCAATTCTGGTATGTTCCAAGAAGCCAGCCAGGCCTGAGGAGAAATGAGGAAATCAGATATGGTTGTCAACCCTTAGAAACAATTTGCGCCTTGGGCCATCTGATAAGCAGATAAGAGAGGAAAAACTCTGCTTAATTCTCCTGCTTTGCTTTACCAAACTGGAATTCTGTAACGCTGGATGCAGGGGGAGCTTGTTAGCAGGCGCCTTGCTAAGTGTCTCTCAAGGTGGGGAAGCAGATATGCTCCTGAGTGAGGTTTTCGCAAATATACACTCATCCCACCTCCTCCCTCCCTAGACACTCAGCTGAGATGGTGAGGTCCCCTGCCTTGCAGAGGTCAGGGCTGAGGGCGGGTAAATATGACAGCTGGATTTAGCTTAAGCTCTGAGATGATTCTAGTTTCTGATGACCCTCCTAATACCCCCTCCCCCCAACGCCCACCCACCACCCGCGCCTGGAAACACTGTTCCAGATGGAAGTTTCCGGCAGCGTATGAGCAGATGTCCCACACTGGCTAACTGTAGCATCTGGCTGTTTTTCAGGTTCATTCTGCCTCCCACCTGCTTTAGGTCACAAGGTGCTGACCCCAGAGACTTGCCATGAAACCACACCTGAAGCAATGGAGACAACGAATGCTGTTCGGAATATTCGCTTGGGGGCTCTTCTTTCTGGTGATTTTCATCTACTTCACCGACAGCAACCCTGCTGAGCCTGCGCCCAGCTCCTTCTCCTTCCTGGAGACCAGGAGGCTCCTGCCCGTGCAGGGCAAGCAGCGGGTCATCATGGGCGCCATGCACGAGCCCGCCTCGCCCGGAAGCATGGACGCAGACCCGGCGCTGCCCGCGGGCCGCCCGGCCGGCCCCTTTCACGTGGGACCTGGTGACCTGCAGCAATGGGCCCAGGCGCAAGATGACTTTGAAAATGAAGACTTTTTTTCCTCCCAGGTGGAGAGAAAATCTCAGAACGCTTTCTACGCGGAGGACGACGCCTACTTTTTTGCTGCTGGTCAGCCAGGGTGGCACAGCCACACTCAGGGGACACTGGGATTCTCTTCCCCCGGGGAGCCAGGCCAGAAGCAGCGGGCTCTGCCGGCCGGACAGGTCCAGAGCGTGCGGGTGAAGGACAGGCACCGGAGACAGAGAAGGACCCACGTGTTGGAGGTCGACGACGAGAGCAGGCCCTTCATGTCCAGGGCCTTGCTGTACCAGCTCTGGAAGGGAAACGTCTCCTCCAAGATGCTGAGCCCGCGCCTGCAGAAGGCGATGAAGGCTTACCTGACGGCCAACAAGCACGGGGTGCGCTTCCGCGGGCGGCGGGCGGCGGCGCTGAGCAGGGCGGAGCTGCTGTGCCGGCTGCGGAGCCGCGTGCGCGTGCGCACCCTGGACGGCACCGAGGCGCCCTTCTCCGCTCTCGGCTGGCAGCGGCTGGTGCCCGCCGTGCCCCTGAGCCAGCTGCACCCCCGCGGCCTGCGCAGCTGCGCCGTGGTCATGTCTGCAGGCGCAATCCTCAACTCCTCCTTGGGCGAGGAAATAGGTGGGTGTCATGAAGGGAGGCAGGATGCCCCGTCTTGGGCCAGTGGGTCATTGGGGGCTGGTTCTTCTTGTGCGCGCCTCTGGACGTCACTGGCGGGGCAGGCTTGGGTATCCACTCTGGGTGTGTCCACAGTTACATGGAGAGTCTTCGGATGATGATTTCTCCTTGCTGGGACAGAGTGAGTCTGTTTGTGGTCCTAGCAGGAATCTTAGAGCAGGGTCTTAGAGATTGTTGGGGAGCTGGAAGTGGGTATTCCCCATAGCTGGTGCCAGTGAGGAGTGAAGGGGAGCACTCCCTTTGCCCCGGCATCATTCCTCACTGCTCCTGTCTCAGACTTCACCGCCCGTAGAAACCATGGTCTGCACTTCGTAGGCTCCTAGCCTGGCCTGGAAGAGCCTGGCGCACCCATCACGTAGTAGGAGTATGGGAGAAAAACAGGAGAAGGAGGCAGGATAGCAGGAGAAAGCCCGATCAGGTGCCAACTCCAAATAGTAGGCTAAGCAGAGACTATTCTGATTACTTCAGGGCCGAGAAGTCATCCACTGTGGGCTCTGAGAAGGGACCACCTGCTGCGGAGAGCTTCCCTTCTCATTGGAAAATGAGTTCTGGTATCCCAGACTGTTGACACAAATCCAACCTTTGGGTCATGGCCAGTGCACCTAGCAGGGACCTTCTCCAGGATGGTAAATTACATACTCTACCTGGGCTTTCATCCTCCCTGCCAGTCTCTGTCTTCAAAGCCCTGTCAAGAGCCCTGGAGCACATCTGTTTCATAGCTCCTGTGTCAGTCAGGTTTCTCTAGAGAGTCGACTGGTAGGATACAGAGACAGAAAGAAAGACTTATTGTAAGGACTTGGCTCTTGTGATTATGGGAGCTGGCAAGTCTGAAATCCTAGGGCAGGCCAGCAGGTGGGAAACTCAGGCCAGGGTTTCTATGTTGCAGTCTTGAGGCAGAATTCCTCCTTCCTTAGAAAACTTCCATCTTTGTTCTTAAGGCTTTCAACTGGTTGGATGAGGCCCGCCTATATTGTGGAAGGCCATTTGCTGTACTCAGAGTCTGCTGATGTAAATGTTAATTACATCTAACATCTTCACAGCAACATCTAGACTGGTGTTTGACCAAACAACTGAGTACCATAGCCTAGCAAAGCTGGCACATACAATAACCAAGGCAGTTTCTTCCCAGTCTTTAAGTAAAATAACAGTTCTAATACGTTTTGGTTGAAGGGGGAAGGGAAGCGTTCAGTTACATTCCCCTCCCACAGAGAATAGCCCGGCACTGGACAGCCGGCTTTGGCCAGCTACAGGACTGGCGTGCTGCATGGCATTCATTTCCTCACCTTCCCCAGCCTCTCACCCTCGTTGCCAAAGACACCCAGTCTCCTGTGCTGCCGTTGCTCCTGGGATGAATGAAGTATAGACCCAACTCTCAACAACTGCACAGTCCAGTGAGGAAGGCAGACCATAAACAGACAACAGTCCAGTGTCATGTGGGTAGGAGAAAGAGAGATCCGCAGGTGGACAGGGAAGAAATGGCTGTGGAATCCTAACCGCCCCCACCCTGACAGGGTAGGTGGGTAAGCAGAGAGAGGAGGTTAGGAAAGACTGCTCTGGAAGGGTGGATCCAGGCCGAAGACCCAGCATCACAGAGAGATGAGAGACAGCATGGTGTGCAGGTGGTGAGAGCCACTGGGAGAAGGGCCAGTGAGGAGAAGAGACAGAGAAGCTGGCTGGAAAGGCAGATCAACTCCTGGACATTCTTGCATATTGTTCTACAGAAATTAGACTTCACCTAATAATTGTAATAATAGGTACCACTTATAGGGTATTTACTACAGCCAGGGTCCCCTTTGACATGCTTTTCATGTGCTAACTCTTCTAAGGCTTACAACTGTAAGTGATAGACATGATTATTCCCATTTTACAGATAAGGAAACGTAGACACCTCAAGTCACATAGTGAAGCCTGGATTCAAACCCCAGTCTGGGTCTCTCACCCCATGCCTATGATGCAAAGGTGTTGTGGATTTCCACCTTAGAGAGATTGCTTCAGAGCCTGGGTTTGAGGGCACAAGGGAAGTCAGGCTTCCTGCCCAGGCTAACTTCATTGCAGCACCAGAGAGCAAGCATCTTGTTTCTTTAGGCTCATTTCTTCTTTTGACAGACATGTGTTTAGCACCTACTATGTGCCTGATTCTGTATTAGGAGCAGGAAAGCAAATGTGAATCTGATGCAGCCTAAGCCTCAAATCTAGATGCCAAACAAACCTAGCAAATACATTCCTGTAGTAGACAGTATTAGGTCATAAGTAGCCTGAAAGTGACCTTCTAGGGGCACTGCTTCTTCCTTACAAAGGAGTAATCCTTATTTCTTGCCTTGGTTTTAAGCAAATACATCAGTTGTTCTGTGTCCTTGAAGAGTGGCTGATGTTCAGAGTCGTCTTGGAGTGGGGTGGAGCCACGGTAGGCAGGCTCAGAAAAAAAAACTTCAGCTCAGATGTCCTTGGGAATGAGGCTGAATGGGACATTTTTAAAAAGTTAAAAAAACAAGACAATAAGTCTGGACTTGAGGTCTGGGGTCCCTGTGTCCCCATGCTGACACTATAGCAGGCTCATAACAACACAGTCCATGTGTCACAGAAGCTTGTAGCCAAAGCCAGAGCAGAGCAGCCTGCAATTTATTAAGAAAGAGCAGTAGTTTTAGAGGTCCCTGGGGTGAAATAACACCGCAGTTCTTTCTCATTTCTGAGGACCAATATTAATAATGTAGAGAAGGGACTTAAGCTTGAAGCAGGCAGTAACTTGCTTCTGGTTTTGTTTTGTTTTAAACACTTCTGCAACGGGGATGCATATTCAGATTGCCCTTGCATCTCAGGAAGAATCCCCTCGCTCTGTACTCCTACAAGGATATCTCTGGCCAGAGTCTTGTGAACTCTACCCAGAATTTGGAAGAGAATGTTCAAGACACTGGGAAGTCCATGTTTCTGGGGAACATGAAATGCCAGAGTTATATCTTGGCAGTTTCTAGTGTCCAAATTTAATTAATATTGTTTGTATTTATATGAGGCTTCATGATTAGAACTGTGGAATCACAACTGAAGAACATGCCTGTAGGTTTTTTTTTTTTAATTCTCTTTATTGTTTTGTCTAGTTTTCTTTGAATCAGATTTTGTACCTGCCATTTTAAGAACAGATAATCATAGCACAACTCAATTTGTAAAAGCAAAAAGTCTTTCATTTTTATAAGCTAGCATCTCATAGTGTCAGCACTGTGCATGCCAGGTGCTGACCACTCTCCTTTCTAGTCACCTGAATGTACACACACAAACCCACATATTTATTAATAGCTCTCAGAATAAAAACAAATTCATGTAGCAGATTCCTCCAGGCGACTTGGAATATTCAGGCATGCTGCAGCTGAATTCATGTTGGCTCTTAAGTATCGACTTGTGAAATGGCTAAGCGAAGATCAAAAGACTTACCAAGGTCAGGATCTTATGAAAAATTGAGGGCAGAGCTAGAAAGAGCCTGCAGTGGTCAGTGCTTCTCAGCCCCACCCCAGCTCTACCTGAGCCCCCCACCAGGTGGATGTCCCTGAATACTCAGCAGCTGGCCCTGCCCTCCTCAGGGAGACCCAGCCAGCCTCAGTTTGCTTACTGGCTGCCCGTTAGCTCCCCCTGGCGTTTGTTCCGTTGGCAATGCAGTCCTGTTCCCCCAGCCTTCTGTTAGTCTGAGTCATACTGTGTAATTGTTTTTGGTTAGAAAATTATAGCAGTTGTAAACATCTCCACTTTGAATGTGCTGTTGAAAAGCAAACCGAACTGTTTTGGAAAACATGGACCATTCTTTCCTAGAGTTAGGAGATGATCTGTTTTCGCCCATGCATCTACACAATAATAATTTGCTAATAGAGATCACTACTGGCACTCCTGTGGAAACACAGTGCAGAGAAAGATCTACTCTAAGCTACCAATAACATCTTTGATGTGGGAAACCAAGATCTGTGTACTTGAAACTCAAAGTCTGGGTGGGAAATGGAAGGTAGGGGAATAGGGTGAGTTTGGAGTGTGACACAGAGAACTTATGGGAGAAAGCGTGGAGGTTAACATGTCATATTATCTTTCCTTAAAAAAAAAAAAGAAAGAAAGCAGTTTATAGAGTCATTCAACAAACATTAATTATTTACTGGTCAGCAGCTCTCTGCCAGATTCTGTGCTAGACACAAAGATGAATAAAATATAGACCCAACTCTCAACAACTGCACAGTCCAATGAGGAAAGCAGACATAAACAGACAACAGTCCAGCGTCATGTGGGTAGGAGAAAGACAGAGAGAGATCCGCAGGTGGACAGGGAAGAAATGGCTATGAATCCTAACCGCTCCCCTCCACCCAAGGGCTGTTGGCTGAGCAGAGAGGAGGTTAGGAAAGACTGCTCTGGAAGGGTGGGTCCAGGCTCAGCATCACAGGGAGGTGAGAGACAGAACAGTGTGCAGGTGGTGAGAGCCACAAGGAGACAGGGCCAGTGGAGGGAGGAGACAGAGAAGCTGGCTGGAACGGCAGATCAACTCCTGGACATCCTTGCACATTGTTCTACAGAAATTAGACTTTACCTAACAATTTTAATAACAGGTACCACTTACAGGGTGTTTACTACAGCCAGGGTCCCGTTTGAAATGCTTTTCATGTGCTAACGCTTCTAAGGCTTACAACTGTAAGTGATAGACATGATTATTCCCATTTTACAGATAAGGAAACGTAGACACCTCAAGTCACATGATGAAGCCCGGATTCAAACCCCAGTCTGGGTCTCTCACCCCATGCCTATGATGCAAAGGTGTTGCAGATTTTCTCGTAGAAAGATTGCTTCAGAGCCTGGGTTTGAGGGCACAAGGAAAGTAAGTCAAGAGGCGAGGGTTGCAGGCTAGACAGGGCTCCCAGGGCAGTGGGAGCTGGGAGAGGTGGAGCATGGCTTTGTCCTGATCCCTGGCAGGTAATTCCCTAGTGTCTGGAGCAGCTCCTTGACAGGTTTCAATTTTCCTTCAGTGGATGCACTTGCCTGGCTTCATTCTCAAGGTCAACACAACATGGCTCTGACCTGGAAATGCCTTCTCTAGAAATGAAGCTTGCCTTTCTTCCCCTCATGCTTGCTGTCTGATCTGTTCCTGCGTCTGTTATTAAGGTACATTATCAAGGCGTTTGCACAGCCAGGCGAGCATTGCAAGACATGCCTGCATGGCAGACACTCAGTGTGTCCTCCCCTCCCATCCAGACCTGACGCTGTACACTGAGGCTTTCCGCGGGTTTAGCAGGAGTCGCCAACACTCTGCCTCCCTGCTCCCTTCACGTAGGTGGCCTTTTAACTCTCCAAACTGATAACATTTCCCAAGAAGCTATGCTACATTGCCTTTCTGTGCCTGTTCTCATGAAGCCCTTGGAAGGCTTAGAACACAGCTCCATGTAGGATAATGGGCATTTAAATGCTGGGATGATTTCAAGGGTGATGTGGTTCATTTGGAATTACTACTGAATGAATAGAAATGCACTTACCATCTTGGGCCCTTGGCTTGCTCATCTTACCTTTATGCTAGGCTGTGTCTGAGTGGGGCAGCATAATTCCGGGGAGGACTCTGATAGACGATTGCTGCCATCTCCTTTCCTCCCTGGTCTTGGGGCTGATTTTTCCCTGAGCACCTGTCACCTCACTGTCTGGAGTCTCCTCTCACTTTCTGCTTTGTCAGAGGGTTGCCCTGGGTCAGCAGATGGAACAATGCAGTCCCCCTGCCCTTAGGGTTCCCAAGACCCTTTTGGGGGTCCACAAAATAAAAACTATTTTTGTAATACCCAGAGGTCTTTTCCTTTTTTAACTGGTGCCATTTGCGCTGATGATGAAAAGCAATGGTGTAGGAAACTGCTGGCTTCTTAACACAAATCAAGCAATCAGCACCCAAATCTCAACCCTTGAGTGTTTTTCAGATTCGGCACGACAAATTGGGAGACAGGAGACAAGCACTTCTGCAAACTGCGCACAATGGAGAAGCACTCATGTGATTGTGTTGTGAGCTGAACTAGCCACTTTTGTCATGAAATGCAACCTTTGCTTGAAATAAAAGTGACAGACACACTCTATCCATACATGGATATCTGGCAGATATTTTCTCAAAAAGGAATTAAGTGAGCCTGTATCACTTTTAGGAAAATAACTGACAGTATGTGTTGCCAATGATAAAAATTCAAGCTTTCCAATCATAATCTTGAAAGCTTACCATGCTTAAAAACCGATGAGATCCATGTTGATATTAACCAATGTGGTGTTTTGATACTGTGTAATGAAATGCATCCACATTTGGAAGATCTGCTTCCTTTAATGACCTGATAGTTTTCCAGGGATCATTGCATGATATTACAAAATCCGCATGGGTGAAAGATCCATTTTAAGAGCAAAATAGACCAATGGATTTTCATGTATAGAGCACGAAAAGTTCATTGATGTGTTTCAGATTCCACATTGCAACCAACCTTTAAGAAACTGGTACTTGTCAAGTTTTGATGATGAAGTATCAAAGAAGAATATTCAAAGGACTCTTAAAATAGTCCTTCCTTTTGCAACAATGTATCCCAGTCTTCCCATACTTCACTGGAAGCAACATATTGCAACAGATTGAAGGCAGAAGCAGATATGAGAAACCACCTGTCTTCTAAAAAGCCAGACTCAAAGAGATTTGCAAACATTTAAAACAGTGCAAGTCTTCTCACTATTTTTTGAAAATATAGGTTGTATTTAATTTAAAAATGTTATTTTAAAATAAATTAATAAATAAGCATCTTTTCAAGTTTCCTATTTTACTTTCTAGTATGGTATCAGTAGATATAATCCATATACACAAAAGGTCTTTGGGTTATCAACAAGTTTGAAGAGTATAGAGGGCTTGTAAGACCAGAATGTGAGGTGTACAGCTTTGAGTAATTTAATTTTTCTAGCTCAAATATCATATGAATTTTTATGAGAAAACACTGTCCAATCAAAATAAATGTTAATAATAAAAACAATTCATTACCAAAGAAAAGTATGAGCCAGTCCTTAAATTGTGAAATAAAGAGCCAGATTTTAATTGGAAACATTCAAGTATTTTGGCATCATTTATACAAAGCATAGACCCCTTGAATCTACAGATTGACAAACTTATTTTTAAGAGCCAGGTGGTAAATATTTTAGACTTTATAGGCGATAGGATCTGTGTCTCAATAACTCAACTCTGCTGTTATAGACAGGGTGTACAGAAATAAGTGTGTCTGTTGCCATTAACTTTATTTCCTAAAAAAAAAAAAAAGTGGCAGGCTACATTTTGCCGGTAGGTAGGTCATAGCTTGCTAACTACAAAATTTCCCCTAAAAGAATAATATAGGATTTGTGATGACATAGCCAGGTACCCTTTATGCATTCATTGTGTTCCAAAAGTGTGTTAATCTGGTGCTCAAAACTTCAATCTGAATTCTTTTGAGTTCAAGGCTTGTCAATAAAGGTATCTTTTGTTAATATTGTTCTAATGGTGGCACCTTGGTGAGTTTCTGCTGCTTGGGGAGTACGAAGACGAATCCCAAGGAGGGATAGCGTGACTCGAGGGAAGAAAGCGAGCTGCTTCAGGACTTGTTTGGGGTGTGGTTGCTGTCTATACAGCACCCTCATGTCCACGTGGCTTTTCGGCATGTCAGAAATATGTCACCTTTCCTCTCCCTCTCTTTGTTGCTCCAAGTTTGACTTGGAATGTGCGTGGGATATTTGAAGCTGAGGACAACCCTTAGAAATTCCTTTACTGTTCATTAGCTGTGATTTCTGGGAATTTCAAGACACATGTATGTTTATAGACCGCCTTATGCAGAGGGACCTTCTCCCTCCTTCCCACCTCTTAATCACTTGAGCCCACTCTCTTTCACCTCCCACTTTCCCCCTCCTTGTCGGCTTCCTTAATACATGAGCCTGTTTTCACCAGGACCTCTCAGCCCGTCATTCAGAGGATTTAAGATCAAGTTGAATGAAGTGAGATGTAGATTTATGTTGTAGTTCAAACTTGATGGACCACCATGTGCCATCACAGAGCATAAGAGCCCTGGCAGCTGATGATGTTGGTGGTGGTCTGCCATCCTCCTGGGTGACGGCAGCTGGCCAGACCGTTGCTGCAGATGCAGAATGCTCCAAGGTTGCTCTCGCGTGGGTCTTGGTACCAGTAGCATTGGGTAAGGCTGCATGGAAATCTGAGCTAACTGTCTTTTTAAGCATTGTCCAGCACCAGAAAGTGGTAAAGTGGAATTGAAGGTTGTGGCTCCTGCTGCGTGAGAGCTGCACTTGATCTTCATGAAGGCAGCAGCATTAGATGCAGCCCCAAGAGTCCATCCTTGGGGCTCTCCAAGCCATGAGAAGCCACAGACGATGAGCCCCTGCCCACTAGTGTCTTTACCTGTTTCCAGGGAGTCACCTTCAAAATGTTTTGGAACCAGTCGGGCACAGTCATGCCTGTAATCCTATCACTCTGGGAGGCCAAGACAGGAGGATTGTTTGATCTCAGGAGTTCAAGACCAGCCTAAGCAAGAGTGAGACCCTGTCTCTACTAAAAATATTAATAGAAAAAAATAGCCAGGCATGGTGGTGCATGCCTATAGTCCCAGCTACTCAAGAGGCTGAGTGAGGCAAGAGGATCACTTGAGCCCAGGAGTTAGAGGTTGCAGTGAACCATGATGATGCCACTGCACTATACCCAGGAGACAGAGTGAGACTCTGTCTCAAAAAAAAAAAAGTTTTGGAGACTTTGAGAGAATGGCTGCATAAACCTTATCACTTATAAAAATTGTGAAAAGATAGCAAGCATCTAAATATAACTTAGGTGATACAGAATCACCTGTGATTGAATTGATTTATATATATATATAAAAATCCATTATATACATATACATATATATATATATATATCCATGTTGATTTTCCTCCTAGCCAAGACCTCATTCTAAATCAACAGTCAATTATCTGAAAAACATGTGCGTGGCTCTTAACTTTGTTGGTGGTGTCTAATTAGCTTCAGGTATTGAAAGATTTGCTTTAACATTTTTTCCTAGATTATGTGATTCTACAGAGAAAAACAGTAAGCTTGTCACTTATGTGCCCTTAGATTCTCATGATGCAGTTTTGAGATTTAACTCTGCTCCTACACGTGGTTATGAGAAAGATGTTGGAAATAAAACCACCATGCGCATCATTAATTCCCAGGTAAGGTGGATGGAGTATTTTCACAAATGTACACACTTGTTAGGTTTAACTGGATGAGTGAAGAGCAATGAGTCTGACTGGATGAGTGAAGAGAAATTACCTGGTTACCCATGGCCGTAGTACTTGCTTATTTCTATGGATCTTGTACAAATTAATAGGGAAAAATTGCAGAGAAGTAGGAATTTAGATGTGATATGAATAAGGAGAAATGAATAAATAAGATTAAAAGGAAAAACAACAGTAGAAATAGAAATATACATATATGTATTTATAATTCTAGAGTTGGCATGTTGCCTTTTGTGAATTGAGGAAAGTTAAATTTGGCAATATGGAAGGGGAGGGTTGAAAGGAGAGAAACACAAAGGTACAAACTCTGCAGGCTGTTATTTGGAATTTAAAAAATGAAAAGGAATTATTTAATTAGGAATGAAAATACATCTTTTCTTCATGTTCTTAATAAGAACGCCTTCCAAATTTATAGGAAAATTATCCTCAGAACAAACCACAACAATTTCTAGAGTTTCAAAAATATGTAGAAAAAAAGATGAAGTGATGAGTGATTTCTGGTGAGTTGCTTGCAGAACAAAGATCAGCTTTCTGCATGGTTCACCTTGCCAGGCAGCCTGCTGCAGGGTCAGAGACAATTACCATATTTCCTTAATTCGTAGATGCTGTTCACCTTGAGATCCACCATTCACTTAATAAGAGCTTCTCAGAGAGGTGGAAATAAACCCCTCCAAATTACAAAACATGCCATCTGTAAGATGCATCCTAACTTCAGAAACCTTAAAATGTGAAGGAAAAATGTACATCGTAATAAAGGTGAAAAATCATGTCTTAAAGCTGAAGAAGAACAATATGTTATTTTTTTTCCCAAAAAACTACAGTTTAAAAGAGATGATTTGCAGGTGATATTGAAGAACTCCCCCTGAACCAGGTAGCGCTACAGAGGGAGTACTGTGGCCGGAACCCCGGAGTCTTCTTAATAACTCAGGTCACCCACCCGTAGTGCTCTCTCTACATGACACGCGAAGGCAGTCGTGGAAGAGGCCGTGGGGCCTGCATCAGCTCCGGGGGTTACTTCCTTCTGGAGCTGGACTCACGCACACTAGATATGAGCACAGTGCTGGGGAGAATGTAAGAACCTGTGGCTCCTTGAAAAACTTCCTTTCTGCAAACATTCTTTAAGTGCTTCAGCATGCAATGCCAGCCTCTCTTCCTCCCCCAGAGGAAAATACAAAGCCTGGGCCATTTTTTCTCTTGCTCTTGTTCCTCTTTTTTAATTTTCACCTCTTTTTAAAATATTATTTTGAAGGACCAGACACTGGTTTTGAAATGGTTTTTCTATGTGATTGCAGATTCTGACCAACCCCAACCATCACTTCATTGACAGTTCATTGTATAAAGATGTCATTTTGGTGGCCTGGGACCCTGCTCCCTACTCCTCAAATCTTAACCTGGTAAGTGCTTCCCCACCCCAGTGGTCAGACATGCCTTTTCACTGATTAATCATGGAAGCAAGTCAAGCATCAAGCTTTGACTCCAGAATGAAACTGACCGTGGGTACAATTTAAATACAAGTGTGTGCACACTCTTTTGATACCCAGTTACGGTAGCACTTTTGGTGAGCATTAGCTGTCTAATGCCAGAGTGCTTTTGTTCTGGGGGATTAGGAGAAAAATGTAGAACATCTAAATGGGGTGGGCTGATTAAACTTGGAACTCTTCCATTGTGATAGGGTTACATCACTTTCCAAGTAGTTGCAAGACTTATTGAAATAAGTTGAAAGTGGTTGGCAGGAGAATCTAAACTTTGTGAATCCAGAGCTCTTTGGTTATTTAAATGGGGCTTTTTCTTGCATGTGTTCTTCATTGGCTTCTGTTTCTAAATCTGTTTAATTTTATGCTATAGAGCTGAAACAAGTTTACTACTAGCTATCAAAATACAAATGGGTTATATTTGGGACATTCTGGTCAATTACCGCCTATCGAAATAAGCAGCTAGCTACTTTTGGTGAAACTTTGCATGAAATGCCAGTGGGCTTGTTTTTTAATGAGGGCTGGGAAAGATGGGTTATATTGAGCATAGTAAGAGATGCTGTCAGTTGTGCAAATGAGTGTCTTTGACTTGTTTTGCCATGACCAGAGAGGATACAGACTTCTTAAGATGAATGTGGGGTGATACAAACTCCTTAAGCCGGATGTGAGGGGCAGATCTTTGCTCCTCCAAGCAGTAACTTTCCAAGATGGAATGGGATCCTCCAGAAGGAGGATCTGGTCACTGTTCACATCAAGACTGAGGCTGGATATTAACCTAGCATAATTGCTAACTGGTTCTTAACCAGAGGTGCAAATCTGAATCACCTGGAGAATGTTTTCCAAAATCTGTCAAAGCCCCATTTCCAGAAATGTAGGCAATATATAGCCTCAGTGTGTGTTTTTTGAGAAAGCTCTCCAATTGCTTCTCATACATACTCTTCACTGAGAATCACACATAAGATGGGTGTTTGACATTTTCAACTTCCTTCTTAGCCCAAGCTTTCCGGTTTTAAGCTCTGGCAGCTTTCTTCTTGTTTGTGAAAAGCCTGAGAGCTTCTAGCTGTTGGATCTTGTTTCTTCATCTGTTGGAAGCATCTGAGCCCAGGGCAGGACCTGGCCCACCCAGCAGTGCTAAAATCCAAGCACAAAGTCCCCTTTCTGTGTGGCCTTTGCTGCCCTGTGAGGACCTGGGGGGTGGGAGGACAAAAGAGTAATTCCCCCTCTGGTCCCACATTCCTGCTTCCTTGCCAATGTGACACCTGGCTTGGGGATTTCGTTTATTTATTGAAGATGACCTAGTCCAGTCATTCTCAAAGTTTTTAAACCCACAAAAGCTTTTCATCAGTGGAATATTACTTGGGATCTTAATATACACCCACTGTACACCCATGGCATCTGTATGAAGGGAACCCTATGAGCTAAGCCCCTCCCTACCCACCCTCTCCAAATCCCATGTCACAGTGACACCTGAGACACTCCTGAAGACTTCTTTTTAAAAATCAATCTTATTTTTCCTACAAGTGTACATTTTGATGAGTATTAACAAATCTATAGACCCATGTATCTATCATCACAATACAAAAAGAACATTTCCATCATCCTGGAGGGTTCCCTTGTCAATCCATCCTAGTCAGTCTTCCCAGCCCCAAACCAGGTGGCACTGCCCAGACCCAGACAGCATTGACATACTTTCTGTCACTATGGATGAAATTTGGAAAACTTATTTTTGAAATACACTAATCCAGAACAGGAGTCTGTAGCCATGGACCAAATCTGGCATCCGCCTGTCTTTGTAAATAAGGTCTTATTAGAACACAGCACACTGTTCAGTAGGTATTGTCTATGGCTGCTTTCGTGCTACTATGGCACAGTTGAGTAGAGGAGCCACAGACTCTGTGGCCCTTGGCAGAAAAAGTCTGCTGACCCATGATCTAGTCTGTTTCCCTCATTTTACTAAAGCAGAAAGCATTATCCCTGCTGGGGCGAGCACCCGGTCTGTCTGTCCCCACATCCCAGTGAGGAAGTGTCTGTAGAAGTGACGACGAGTCGTGGGCTTCCCCCTCCCTCCAGCCCAGCCTGCCTGGGTGCTGCCCTGTCTCCTTTTGTCTACTTGATTGTTTTGATTTTCTGTTTCCTTAGTGGTACAAGAAGCCAGATTACAACCTGTTCACTCCATATATTCAACATCGTCAGAAAAACCCAAATCAGCCATTTTACATTCTTCATCCCAAATTTATATGGCAGCTTTGGGACATTATCCAGGAGAACACTAAGGAGAAGATTCAGCCAAACCCACCATCTTCTGGTTTCATTGGTAGGTGTACGTCAAAAACTGGAATAATCGGGCAGCGGGCAGGGGGAGGCCTAATTAATATTTAATAAATAAACAGTCATGTTATACAGGCGGAGTACCCCTTTTCTGAAATGCTTGAGACAGGAAGTGTTTCGAATTTCACATTCTCTTGGATTTTGGAATATTTGCAAATATTTAACTGGTTGAGCATCTCAAATGCAAAAATCTGAAACGCTCCAGTGAGTATTTCCTTTACATGTCATGTAGACACTCTAAAAGGTTCGGATTGTAGAGCATTTTGGATTTCAGATATTCAGAATAAGGATGCTCAACCTGTATAATAAGAGCCATTAACAGGTAGATTAATGGAAAAAAAAAGGAAAACTCACATAACAAATTACTCCAAAATTTTAAGGTGTAAAGCAAGAACTATTTTATTTTTCTCATGATTTTGTGGGCCAGTGATTTTTCTTTCTGTTGCACCTGGCATAGCTGGGGGTCCCTTAGTGGTATTTAGCTGCTTCGTGGGACGGTTTGACTTGCACGTTCAGCCCCTGCTCCACTGGCACTGTTGACCGTGCACCTGCCCGTGGCTTTTTTGCATGGTGGTTTCAAGATAATTGGACTTCTTAAATGGCAGCTTAGGGATCCTAGGGAGTGTATTCCAAAAGACGGGAAGTAGAGGCTGCCGGTTTCTTAAGGCAGATACCAGAGACTTGCACAGCGTCACCCGTGCTAGTCTGGTGGTCAGAGCCAGCACAGAGCTCACCAGATTCCAGGAGAGAAACATAGACCCCGCCTCTTGAGAGGAGGTGAGGGAGACATTTCCAGGAATCTGTGGCATCTTTAATCCACCACCCACTCTTGTTCACATTGCGTATGGGATGCCAGGCTGAGGAACTGAGTTTGTGACCATGGGATAGGGCATCATGTTCCAAGATTACTGGTAGGTGGGACTTTGATGAGACTAGTTCCAGTATCTCGTTCAGCTCTCTCAACCAGAGAGTCCACTGGCTCTAAGCCAAAGATGGATTTTATATAACAAGATAATGACATTTGGCTTATATTTTTTCAGCTAGGCTTTGATCCTCAAGGTTTGTGGTTTTACCCCATTTCTTTAACTGTGTTTCAGCTTATCATTCCATTATTTCTTTGCTTTTATCAGAGTAGGGTAATACTAAGGAAAATCCTAGATCCCCTTGGCAATATGAAAGGCCATAATAGAACCAGGGATATTGGTTTTGTCTGTAGAAACTGTAATGTTCTCTGCCCCAATTTCAATGAATTTAGAGCCTTGTGCCTTCCTTGGGCTGCGCAGTGAGTCCCTATGCATAAAGGACAGATTTGTGGAGGTAACATACTGGTTTGGTTATGTACACAGGACATACAAATATTCTGAATTGAGGCTTGCAGATTTTAAAGTGGGTTTATGGTATTGTAACAATGTGAAATATTTTACATAGAACTCAAGAAAAAATGTACAATATGACTGCATATTATTTTTCTTAGCCACATGGTTTTTTTTTTCCTCGTCTTTAAAGTCATGCCTTTGACACTCTTTGTTTCCAAATGACTCTTTTGAAACCCCAAGTTCTTTATCTTCTGTACAATTTCAGAGGATCCTGTTGATTTAGAAAAGAAAGTATAATCTAGTTTGTCAGCAAAGGGTAAACAGGATGGAATAATGCCTCGGTAGCACAATAGGATGTGGCAGGAGTTTAATAAAGTCTTTTTCATATTGTCACCTTCTCATGAATTCATGGGGCTAATATTTGATTTGAGTGAAAGTTTTAAAGCACAGTGAGGGGGCCCTGTCAGATATACTTATTATCAACATGTGGTTTAAAAAATTGAAGCTAGAGAGTCATAGCTGGAAAAGGCGAGTTCCCATGTGTTTTTGTTGAAAAAAAAAAAATTATGCCGCATGTGGCCAGCTTCCCTTCATAGCTATTTACTGAAACTCTGGAGATTTCGGAGGCTGATGATTGTGTTTAAGGTTTCTTTGACATGAAGCAGGGGGATGCAGTTCTATGTCACTGCCAGAATGTACGTTGAGGTTGCACGGGCTTGCGTTTGAATTCTCTTCTGCCCCTTGCTAGCTGTCCGACCTTGGGCAAGTTACTTAATCCCCCAACCCTCAATATCCTCAGATGACAAATGGAAATTATAATAAAACCTTTCCAAGAATGAGGTAGCTAGCCAATTTGTAATCATTATTTCCTAGTGCTGCCCTGCCCAATGTGGTAGCTATTAGTCACATGTGACTACTTAAGTTTCAATTAGTTAGAATTAAATAAGAGGAAAACTTCCATCTTGGTGCCATTAGCCCCATTTCATGTTTTGAGTGGCCACTATGGCTACCATATTGGACAGTGCGGATGGAGAACATTTCCTGGTCCCAGAAGTTATGTAGGACAGCACTGTTAAGTTTTGCTAATCACAGAAGAATGAAAAACAGCAAGTTGATGAGGAATCATTAAGTTCCCACTGGACAAGCTATGGATGGGAACAGAAGATGCAACAGATACCATGGTCTGGTGTCTACAAATTCATTTATGGCTCTTGTGTCATGCCACAGCCAAGCACAAGACCCCTCACCAAAGACGGGCAGTAGATACAGCCTGGGTGAGCTCTGTTCAGCAAAACACCAGCACTCTCTGACTACCCCCGAAGCTACTGTAGTCTTTACACCTCCTCTTTTATCTTGACCAGAAATCAGTTGAGAGCCAGAGTCTATTTTATAATTTATCTGATAGTCTTAAATAGCAGTAAAATGATGTCACCCACATCTCAATCTGTCTGCCATAAGAATTTAAAAAATCAATGAGTGTAGTTTTTACTTTTATGGAAAAGGTTCTCTGAATGCCCCTTCGTGCTCTGAGGTCATGCTGAAAAGGTATTGACTTGTTGTCTCAGCACCTCATCATTTCCAAATACTCTAACCTCTAACGTCAGCCTCTGAATGAAAGAACCCATTGACAGGCAGTTATGAGAGATTAGAGCATTTCAGTTTGCACCTTCTGTCTTGTGCCCCAGGTGCATGGGTCGGCGAGGTGGTCATCGTCAGAAAAGAGCACCCTGGCAGTGTCCCACCCTCCTGTTGTTCTGATCCACACAGGGCTGCACTGGAACTGAAGCAGCACGAATCACTTTTTTTACTGATGTGTTCATCGGCTAGCTGTACATATCTACACACATGGCTGGTTTTATATTGCCTTTTCCCCTCAATCTTTGTGTCTGAAGCCTTTACTGATGTGTTCATCCGTATGTGAAAAATAAGTCTTCCATGTAATTATTTATATTTCTAGACCCACCACATACATTTTCCTTATACATTTTTAGGAATCTGCATATGTGAAACAGAGGGACTGTAAAAGTTGACTATTTTGAACACAGAAGACATTTCTCTGTATAGAAATGTATAGAAATGGATCCATTTCTAATGGATCTGTATAGAATCCAGTAGATCCAATGGATCTGGATAGAAACGGATCCAGTAGCAGTTAGATTCCCAGGGAAATGCTCCTGAACTCTTTAAATGTAATGCTGTTGGTGCTATTCAGAGGCCTGGTTACTGGGACCTGAATTCATCACATAGGAGGAAGGTGGTGAACAAAGAAGTCATCCATTAAGTGGATATTAATTGAGCACCTCCTGTGTGCCAGGCACAGGGCTGGTCCTAGGGGCATGTTGGTATGGAAACCAGGCAAGGGTCCTGCGCACACCTTGTGGTGCTGGAGGGGGATGGGGGAAGACAGATGCAGATAAAATATAATTACAGCCTGTGATAAGTGCAATGAAGGAAAAAGAACAGAAAGCTGCATCAAAAGCTGGGCAGTGTCTGTTTGGCTCATCATTGTGTTCTTCCTCTTAGCCTGGCACCTAGTAGATAGAAAAATAATAATAATTATTTGGTGAATAAATAAATGTTCCAGCTCAGTAGTTCTCAAAGTTTAACATGAATCAGAAGATTTGTATATCAGTAATCCTTTGCTGCAAAGCAAAACTTAGATACTGAAAAGAACAGTGAGCTTTCATAATCTCACACAGTTTCTGCAGGTCTGTAATCTGAGCACAGATTGGCCGGATGATTCTGGCTTGTGTCCTGTCATGGAGTTACAGTCGAGCCATCCAGACGCAGGCAGGATGGTCTGCTTCCAGGAGGGCTCACTTGCATGGCTGTGGGCAGGAGGCCTCAGTCCCTCACTCACCACCTGTACCTCTCCATAGGGCTGCTTGGCCTTCCTCACAGCTTGGCAGCTGGCTTCCTGAGAGCACGGAATATGAGTTGAAGGAGGAAGCCACATGTTTTCATGAAGTTATAACTATCACATTTGCATTCTATAATATTTGTTACACGTCAGCACCTTTGTGGTGGGAGGGAACTACACAAAGGCAAGAGTAGCAGATGGGAATCACTGGGACCCAGTCAGGAAGGTGGTTGTCACAGCTTTTTAAACCAGAGTACTGGGCCCACTCTCAGAGTTGCTTAGTATGTGGAGGTGGTGCAAATTTGTTTTGCATTTCTAGCAAATTCTCAAGTGATACGGATACTGCTGGTCCTGGAATCAAACTTTGAGAACCACTCTTTTAGCTTTTTAGAATCTTAAAGTTAGAGAGAACTTTAGAAATCTAGTCTACAAGTTATTTTAATATGTTGATAGAAGTACCAGCAAGGTGATATGCATTTGGCTCCCTGGGCAGACACAAAATTCTTTAATAACTACAATCACTTACTTGTTGCCATGTTTAAACACAAATGGAATAGTTATTTTTATTTGTGTTTAGTTAAAAGAATATAACATATTATTACCAGAAACATCACTTATTTATGTCTTTGTCTTTTGAAATTTTGTAGCATTTAATCCTATATTTCAGCGTCTTTGCATTTTTAACTACAAATACAATTATTCTTTTGGTTTCTTTTGAAGACATACCTATAAAATTTGTGCCCATTTCTGATGAACTCATTTTACATCCTTAAAACTTATTGTGAAATGACATACTTAATAACAGGATTT